CTTCCTCTACGCCTATCTTTCTGAAAAGTTTTGGAAAGGGCACCCCCTACCCAGTTGGAAAAGATTTTCTTTCATGCTTTTAAGAGCGGTACGCGCATCTTACCGTACAGAATGGTACCCAGGCTATAGCTCCCTCGTTTTTCCCCAAATTTGAACTGTTCCGTCACTTTTGAAAAACATCATTCCCTCAATTCTTGAGGGTACCGTCATTCTGCCCCATACCATAGTTCAACAAAATTTTCCAAACTGGGGCACTGACATTTGAACACTGAACTCCAAGATCTCCCAATCCCAAGGTAGGCACTTACGTTTTTCCTCCCGGGGGGAGACGATACCCAGCAATGTGCTCTTTTAACTTTTGACAGCCAAGAACCCCATCCTCAGTTTATATCAGGACTCGGTTAAAAATTCGAAAGGTGACCCCACACCACAACAGTGTAAAATTGCGGGCGTTTTGGGCCACCCAGCGAAAAGCAATTACCCCGAATGCCCAGTCTGGGGTGCCGAACCATTCAAACGTCTTGCAATCGTCTCCCTCTTCCCTTTAAAACTGTCATGAGGCTCACCCTCTTTCTCTCGCCATTGTAAAGTCTTTTTAAAACCCGAGGGGGAAAAATCCGTTACCTCAAAGAGAAGAAGTCCCCCTTATGCCAGGGCATTTTTCCCTCATCCCCGCCTCCAAGGGAGATCCCACGTGTTTTTATCCCTTTTAAAAACGCCCCCCCCATTTTCGGGTATCCCACTTCTACACCCACCTCTGTGGTTACCTCCCCCATAGCACCCTTATCAAATCCTTTTGCTGTCCTCGGCTCAGACTCCTTACTTCAACGCCTCAGTCTGATCTCGCTTTTTCGAGTTTCTCCACAAGCCTCAGTATCCGAGACCTGACGACACCCCCCCTCCCAATCGCCCTCTATTTCTAAAAGTAAAAAAAAAATCCGTTAACCCCCTACCCACTTCCACCTCCCATTTTCCCGTCCCTGCTCTGTCCCTGGTTTCCCCCTCTCACTGGCCAGTTTACAGTTAGAGGTTCACCCCCCCGACTGTACCTTCCCCCCCTTTCCCCCCCAAGTTTTTTTCCTCTTTTGCCACCTCCCAGGGTTTCCCGCCTCTTTTGTCCCCGCCCCCCTTCTCCAGTTCCTCCCCCCTTTTGCCCCCCCCCCACCTTGGTACAGTCCAATACGTTCCAATCTTTTTCAACCTCCCCTACCATTTCCAATATTGTCTCCCATACGACTCTCTGAAAACAGAAACACTTGAAAAATCTCTGAATATATTGCAGAGACCAAACCACAAGGGCACTATCCACCCTTTCCCCTCTTTCTCTCTCCCCTGCTCCATCTGCGCAACTCCTTTCTTTTACAGCGCACAGTTCCTTCGCTGCTGAACGTTTTTTTTTTTTTTTCCCCTGCCTCCCATGGGAATTTTCTAAACCCCCTAGTCCGTAGGAACCCCTTTCCCGCGGATTTTTAAGTTCTTTATCTTTTCCAATCATGGCCCCATTTACAGTGGAATATACGCGGCCTCAGGGGGGAATTGGGGTGACTTCAATGTTTCTCTCCCAGTTTTCCCTGTTGGTGTTTTCTTACAGGAAGCAAAATTTCACTCTGCTGTTATTTCTCCCATCTAGGCTATAATTTATTGTATTCTCAATTTTTTTTCCTGATGGCCCTTTTAATGAAAGTCCCCTTCTTCACGCACTAAATTTTCCGTCCATAGCATTTTTTTCATACTTCCTGCATTACACAGCAGCCCGTTCCCTTACATGGGTGGTATACGCTCTGTTCTTTATATCTCCCCTTTCGGGCATTATCTATTCCGGATATTGCCTTCCTTTTTTTCGCATTACCGCCACCGATTTGTTACTTGGGATTTTAATGCCCACCTTTTTCCTCGGGGGGGGGGGGGGGTCTCACTGTGATTCCCGGGGGAATTCAGTTAAAGGTTTTTCTTGCCCCCCACCCCCTCCATGTTTTAAAACAGGTACTCACACCCTTTTGATCCTGGGACCATACTTTTTTTGCACGATCCTCAGTCTGCCTTCCCCGCCCCATTAACTTCAGGGTTTTCCCCCGGGATTTATATGACAGTGTCTTTCCCCAATCATTTTTATTCCCCCTTCAACGCCCCCATTCGCCCCCACGCTGGAAATTAATCGGGCAAATTGGAACCTTTTACTCACACCTAACTTTTTTTTAAAAAGGGGTTCCTTCGTCCTCCATCGATGGCTTTTACACCTCTTCTCGTCCTCTTTTTTCACCGCAGTTTCTCATTCTAACCCAAAATTTCGGGCGGCTTCTCAAATGGGGCCCTTTTGGGGGTCTCCTGCTTGTGCTCGTGCAGTACGTTTGAAACGCGCGCATGGGCAGGTCCGGGTACAATAAACCACAGAGAGACTCCTTGATTTTAAACAGAAGCGTCGATCGCTCGCCGTGTCACCTACGCTAAACGCACTTGCTAAAATTTATGTCCCACCATCACCCTGCTTCCTCTATGATGAGTCTGGAAAAAAGTACAAAAAACGAGTGGTAAATTTCCCTGCCCGGCTCCTGTTCGCGGGTTCCCCGGTTTTATATAGCAAAACCACTAGATTTTGCCAATGAAATTGGCAATCATCGGGCCCGTATTTCTCGGGACTCCACTATGCCCCTCATTTCTTTCCTCAAAGTCGCCAGGCGTTAGACCCTTGGACTTTTCTCTCCAGAAAAAAACAGATAATTCCTTTTAACATTCAAGAACTGAGGCAACCTCTCAGTTTGTTGTCATGGCAGGGGGCCCCGCGACATTCTTTTTGTATGCTAAAACTTTTTTCATCAGTCGCCCTTGCGCCCTTTTTTACCCTTTTACAATTTTATTTGGTCACAAGGGTTCTTCCCGCGGGGAAATCTCCCAATTTTTCTCCCTTTCCGCAAACCCGGCACTACGGGACATGAAACTTTCCCCCTTTGTCCCATTTCCTTCCATGAGTTTGCAAAGTAAGGGAAAGCCTAGTAAATAGACGTTTTTGTGGTTTTAAGACAACAACAGTCTCCCCTCGTCAATATGGGTTTGTAAGGGGCATTCTACCCAAAACCCTTATACACTTGATACGTATGTTCGAATGCCTTTGCAATAACCACTCATTATTGCCATTTTTTTGACCTTGAGAAGCATATGACACAACTGGGGGATAAAATTTTAGCCCCAACCCACTCCTTGGGCCCTTTGAGGCAACACCATCCTTCCCCTTTAAAAACTTTTTAATGACAAAAGGGATTTTCCGTGTTGGGTTAATAATGTCCCTCCCCGGGCTTTTTCCAACTGAAAGGGGTCCCCCCGGGGTGTGTTCGGGGAACAACATTTTTTTTCCTTTCTTTAATGATTTGGGCCCCTATCTTCCATCAAAATTTGGGCATCACTCTTATTTGATGACTTCGCTATTTCCCGTGCAGGCGCTGACTGTCACCTCATTACAGTTTCTCTCCCAACTTTCAGTCGAACCCCGGGTTTCCAATTTGGGGCCCCCCACGGGTTTAAATTTTCCAGCACTAAACCCCCCCAAATTTCT